TCAAATTTAAATAATTTAGATCAGGTTTTCCTTATAAGTTAAACCTATCAATTATCAATTTTAGTAATATAATCAATAACACTATTAATTTCAAATACATAAAAATAACACTTAATACCTATTATTATAAATAAATTTAACAATAAACTCAATTTTTGACTTTGTTAAATTTTTTTACCTTATTGTTCTTCTAAGACATTATTTATAAATATGGGAATATTATTTTTCTAAACCTGCCAGAAATTTAATTGGTTTTAAAACTAAAATTTTGGATTATTTTCAATTCGAAGAATTTGTTTTATATAATATGAATATTGTTTATATAATATTAGGTTACCTTATTAACCATTCAAGTTCAAAGTGCGATGAATTAAAAATACACCAATAAGTAACTTGCCACTAATTCGCTTCAAGGTGTTGTGTTTTAGAAGGAAATGAAGAAAATTATTAAAAACTCCAACACATCAATACTCAAATTGTAGAAAAGTCATTCTAAATTCCATATTATTATGAAGAACCGATTTTAATAAGAATCATCAATTCTTTGAATCAAAATAAAATATAAGAGAAGCTAATGTGCTCCTTGTTTGTTAATCTTGAATATTATATCTCTTGTATGGCATTTGATTTAATTTTGTATGAGGAATCAACTAATTTTAGTGAATAGATTAGAATAGATACACAAATATTAGCTAAGGATCTCTGCGATGAATTATTTGCAACGCAAGATGGACGTTTGAGTTTATTTTGTCTAGGCTAGACAACTTTGAAATAATATTCATTGGATTTTTCAAGGAATGTTATTTTAAGTTTTGAGCATGATGTTTCAGACTAAATAGAGGATAAATGCAAAAAAAAATAAATTAAATTGAAGGATTACTAATATTTAATTGTGTTTTATCAATGCTCGAGATGGAAAGTTTTGCTAATTAAAAATAATCAAGCTAATACTTTATTGGATGCATCAATGAAGTATTAGTATGTTTAGCTATCCAGGCTCTCTTTCATTGACGATGTAACTTCTTGTGAACAAAAGAATATGATTTTTACTATCTATCTGATAGAAGATAATTTTTATTTATAAATGTTTTTGAATCAAGGTGAAGAAAAAACTCTAAATTTACTATTAACAGAACATCCAATTCGAATTCAAAAGATATTAATATAATCTAAATGTTAACTATTGCTTTTAGTAAATTAGTTATCAGTAAATTAATATATAAAAGTATCACAAGTAATACTTAATTAACAATATCCAATGAAAAATATTCACTTTTATTCAAATCTCATTTTCCTATAAAACTAATTTGACCTAGATGTATTAATAAATGCTAACATTAATTAGTCATATCAAATTTGCAACACTTCATTGCATTTTTTTGAAATAAATAATTTATTTTGTCAATTTGACTCCACCAAAAAAGTGTTATAATTTTATAAATATTAATCATTACATACTTATATAAAACCTAAATAGAAGTATATATTTATAATTTAGAAAAATTAATTATTCAGTAAAGATGATACTTCCATTTGTTTTAAAGTCTTAGACTAAAACGAAAATTAAAAAGCAATATCACAAATCATTGAGTTGATTCCTTTCCAAAATAATTGCTAAAATAAATATCAAACTTTATGGAAATCAGATTACTCTAATTACTTTAAAAATGATACTTTCGATTTAAATAGTAGCAATGGGAGTATTAATGTAAATATCAGGAAATATTAAAACATTGATTAAAACTGTTTAGCAAGACTTTATAAATTTTATTTCCAAGATAAGTTTGATTTAAGAGACTTAATAGAAAACTACATATATTTTCAATATGAAGCAATTTTTTATATCTATGATTGTGAACAAGATAAATTTACACTATCAATAGACCTAAATTAATATATTGTACTTGAATAAAGCCCATTCTATTTTTTTGTGAACAGAAAAAACAATAGTATTTTGAGAGGAGTTATCCTTTTTGAATCCTCAATTTAATATTTCAATATCGATTTAAATGAAGCAATTACAAACTTTAAGCACATATCTTAATATATATTTCTTTAAGTGAACAATTCAGATTTACCGCTTATCATAGAAATGAATTATTAGTCTTATTCAAAAAGCAATTATTTATCTAAAAACCTTTATTAGCCTGGACTAATTCTATTTTATTTTAACTTTGATGAAATAACATTTATCCAATATGCCAAGATTTTGGCTATTTAAAGTTAAGAAATTTTTAGATGTTATGAAATTCAAGAATAATTAATTATTTCAATCTATGAATTCATACATCCAACAGGCTGTTACATAATTGTCGCGATACAAAATTAAACAAATTCTTTAATAATACATTATTTTGAGGAGTATGAACTACATCAAATTTACAATTACACATTTTAGGACTATTAAATTTATTATCCTTATAAGTACGCAATTAACTTTGGTAACTTAGCTTTATTAATTGAAAAAAATAATTTGCTCTATATAGCCATTTTTTAATATAGTTTGTCCATGATATTTTTAGATGATATTATCGCAACTGACAATTCCTTTTTTAAATTTGATTAATACCGATTATTTTTTTCTTTTGATAAAGTATGGATGTACTTTTTCTTAAATAAATTCCTAGTTGAATTTGAGACAGAATAACTTTATTAAGATACCTTATCATCCAGCTTTTCAATGAAATTAAAAGAATTAGATGAATTTGAATTAAGAATTTCAATCTAAAATAAATGCTTTAAGGTATATTCTATAATAAAATCACCTATAATTGAAATTCAAAAGAATTAAATTATAAAATTAAATATTTCTGAGATATTTTATGGTCCAATTTCTAATTTGACACTTATAAATAATTCAAACATTAATTTGAAGGGGCCTTTTCAATTTAATCAGGAACTTTTAAATTGTAATGAGGATGAAACTTCAAAACTATGTTATAAAGTACATTGTCTTTAGAAATAAATAGAAAATTTTATTTTTACAGTAATTATGTAGGATAATTAAGTTATTGAAGTAATTTAAAGATATATTTTCGATAGCTATTATGTAACTTGGATAAAAAGGTAATATTATCTTTGTGTTTCTCAATTATTTAATGTTGAATTAATTGAATGTTTTGAATAATATGAACCTTGTAAACTGATCTCTAAGATTAGTGATAATTAAGGAATAAAATAGATTAAAATTGCAAACACAACCAGAGTTGGTAATTTAATAAAACTTTATGGCGACAACAATAAAGCTTTTATTTTTATTGATGATATCAATTTTAATATATAAATTTTATCTGGTATTGTAATAGACATCCAATATATTGAAAATTCAGAGGATTAATACATCTTTTTATAGCAAAATATGAAAGATTCAAAAGAATTAGAATTAGCAATCTACTCGATCAGTTTATATCAAAAACATTTAATATACTCATTAGCAATTAGTGAATAAATTTAGACAGAATTATTTAAGAATGGAAATCTTATTGAACACATATTGTAGATCAAATTAATCTAATGCAAGTATTCTGGAGATTAAATTAATATTAAGCTTTTCATTGTGGATCAATTTTATTCATAATTATTCTAATTAAATTTAGATTAATAAAAAAATTAAATTGAATTCGAATTGTAAAAGCAAGTTAGAAATCTAATTGACTTAAATTTAGTTTAAATAATAAATTTTATGGTTTAACATATTGATGATTAGCTGTTAATTTTAAAAGAAACTTATAGCAGTTTGTCTTAATTTTATGATCTCCTAGAAGATAGGAGATTCTATGATTATTTTCATTAATCTAAAATTTCAATGAAAATAAAAAGATTAAATACTACTCATTTCATTTTCATTGACCTTTTTAAGATATTTATAGGAACAATTGGATATGAATTAGAATTGTAAAATTATAATTAAAGTGAATAAAATTTTCAATTATTCGCTCAAAACTAGATATCTAATGAAGAAGTTTCATTGCAAATACATATAATTGAAACAAAATAGAAATTTAGACATAATATTATAATCATTTAAATATCTTGTTTTATTTTCATATTAAATTACACTAGAAAAATTCAATCAAAATTAGAAAATCAAAAAAAAAGTTGTAATTGATATGTTAAAATATATATTATAAGAATTATTAAGAATTAGTATTAATGAAAATAAATAAATTGAATCATTTTCTATGTTATCTATGAATTTTTAAGTATAAAATTAATTGAACAAATTATCTTATTATAAATTTATGATGATAAGAATTATTTAACTTAATTAAATTGCAGTATTATTTAATATACAGCCTTATTAACTTTTATTTGAAATTCACCCTCCGTACTTAATCCCTCAAATTTGTCATACCTTATATTTGAATTTCATTCTACCGAAACCTCTGTTATTGATAATTATTGATCCCTCAGATTTGATATTTATTAAATAAAATAAAAACTGATAGTATAATACGTTTGTATCGTAAATGTCATAAAATAGAATTTAGAAATGATTGCTTTTATCTTTGAACTTGAAATAAAAGTCTGTCATTTAAACAAAAATAAATTTTGCAATAACTTTTTGAATCAAAGATAATTTAGGAAAATTCATAAAATTAGTTAACTAAATTAATTTAATGATCCCTATAATTAATCTTCAAAAAATTCGTAAATTATGATAAAAAATTACTAGAATTATATGTAAGGAAGTGTGCATCCATTAATTAAATAATTACATAATTAGAATTAAACTTTAAACCTTTTGAAAGATACTGGAATAAAGAATTAATATCTATAAATTAGACCAATGACTAGGATCAAATGAACCATCTACTAAATAATTATGAAGAAATTTTTATTACTTATTATATTCCGCAAATCTCAAACTTAAAATGTAAGGTATTCAAATATTATAACTTTTAGATATGGTAGCTAAACTGAGTTTTTATTAATCTAAGATCTATGAGTTTTGAATTCATAAAGAGATTATGAAACATCATAACTATTAAATTAGACGATCACATATAAATTTTGAATCTATGGCCACTTGTATTTATTAAAACTTATTTCCTCCTAACTAAGGTCAGTATCAAAATTTCATTATAAATTTTATTTTTTAATTAAATATCAAACTTAATTGACTAAAGATTTTAGTTTCTTCTATCATGTTTTTGTACTAAAAATTCCAGATGTGTTTTTGTTAAGTGCTTAAATTTTGCTTATCATACATACCTTAATACTCTCAAATTTGTTATTTATTTCATTATTGGTCCTACAAATGTTCTTATTGCTTTTTGCTAATGTTTTTTTAATTTAATCCTACTACTAACGCACAATTGGATTTATATTTGGGCTAAAAACGACAGAAATAAACAATTTGGTTTTTCCTTAAATATTTTTTCAATCAATTTACTTGACCGTATATCTGTGATAATCATTTATTCAGTGTTCTAAAAATTTTTTTGCACTTCTTTTGTTGATTAATTAGGGACAATTTCTTCATTATATTTAATTTTAATCAAATTTTTATTCATAAATAAAATCAACCTAAATTTTTATTATCCTCTTTTATGGATTAAGCAAATTCTAAATTGTCAATTTGATGTTTTTATTACCGTTGTAGAGGAATTATTTTGAAGAAGCATTTCCTTTTGGCAATTTTCTTTAAAATCTAAAAGCAATTTTCAAAATAAACAATAGGTAAGGTTTTAAAATAGTTAATCATATACTTACTTTTAAAAATTTGGAAATTCAAACCTTTGAGAAAGAGTTGTGATAGGGATTCTTAAGATTTTCTCTTGTAACACATCAATGAAAAGTTAATAGGATTTAATAATGAAATTGATATGATTATGGTGAAAACGAGAAATTATTCCTGTAATTTAATATATCTATATTATAATAGGATTAAACTTTATTAAAATATGAGAACAGTAGACTAAATTTTGATTTACTTGATATAAAAGTGTAAGGACAATCAAATCGTCATTGTTTGGAGGTTTTAATTCTAAGAACTGAAATCATTTACAAACTGATTTTTAGAAGAAAACCAAAACCAATGATGTTCTAGTTTTTCCAAATCAGGCACTCAGAAATAAATAGAATTACTTAGATTTCTGATCATTGTTAAATTTTTGTAGATTAAGAATTAAAGCGCAGGTGTATTTAGATAACATATGACGCATCAGAAATTTAAAGCATATCAATAGAATATAAAGGCTTTGAGATAAAATACACTTGAGGATCTATGAATATGATAGAAGGAATTTAAGTAAAGAATAATTGATTTTTAAATAGAAATTTAAAATTCCTACTTCGATTATATGAGCTTTAAAGAAAACTTAAAAAGTCGCAGATACTTTATGTGAGCAAAGAGAAAAGGCTTAAAAAATGATTTAGAGGTAAAGTGCCTCAATCGAATAAAAAGTAAGCCGTATTTCTAAGTTATTTGTGATGTCCATTTTGCCTAAGGAATTACCTGAATAAGAAAAATTACTGCATAGCAAGATCTCTAAATTTTAAGGTTCATAACTTCTAATAAGGCTATTAGTAGAGATGGAACTTCTGAAACATTCAAAAAAAAAAAATAGAAATTATCATTAGATTGAAGACTTATGGATTAATGCAATGACTATAATAAATAAATAATTTATGTAAGGCAGACTTGTTTAAAAATTTTGATTGCTTCTTTTTGTATATATTTGATCTTTTATTAAAATATTTTCTTCCTCTTTAGCTTATAACTATTTTTATGAACCTGAGAGCCTCACTTATTAAATTGCTTTTATGCATTCATTTTTGATGTCAAAAAGTCATCCTCTCTTTATGTATGCTGCACATTCTTATTGGTAATAATAATTGCTCTCTAATATTCTCTAGTATATTTTAATTCCCTTTAATTTCTCCTTAGTTTATTTAATATAATTGGCTTTGTTGTGTGACCTCTTGATTATACCTTAAATCAATAAGATGATCAATCTTATCATATTGGAAGCTGGCAATACATTGCAATTTGCCTGTTAATCCTTATAGGAATATATAGCTGGTGATTTTGGTAGTCGTTTCCATAGCTGTTTCACTTATTCTGTTCTTTCTACTTCTAACTTTCATTATGCTTAAGATATATGAAAATAAGGGTTTCATGTAATTAACCCATAATAAGAATCTGTTAC